CCTCGCAAAACCCCTTACCGACATGCTATGTGCTAAGTTGTGAACATTAAGTATTCTTGACCATTGGGTTGTGTACTAAATATCAAATATGATATATATGGTAAACTATAATTCAGTATAAGTTTTTTCCTTCTCTCTTTTTAGATCAAACTATATTTTATGTCTAAAAGATGAAGAGTCACGGTGTTTATAAGATCATATATTGATTACTCGTTTCGTGAACCTCGTGAAAACAACACAGAAAAATACATAGATTGTCTTTGTATGTCAACGAAAAATGACGTTATTTTACACAACCTACGACGATGACTATGACTAAACGAGATTGTTCAAGTAAAATTCAAATCGTCATTATATGTTAATGCAAAACAGTGTCATTTCATTAGAAATAGATTGGTCATCGTATGTACGATGAAATGTTATCAAGCACCATTTGAAGCCTAAATTGTTGTCATAATTTTTTTCATACACGATTAGATTCACCAAATCGAATTTCGAGAGGTTTGACCTATTTTTGTTTGATTTATGATCTAATTTCGATGGTACTAATATTTTCACTTAATATAGAACTTATTCAAGAAGTTTAGAACAATTTAGAGCACGTTGCATACCCCAAGCTAATAAGCAAAGTAGCATCTAAACCACGTAAGTAGCACTTTAGAATTTTAATTTAAGAAATACGTGTATGGTATGCTTGAGCATATTTTAAGGAGGATTATGTGAATAAATTGATATAAACTAATGAAAAGTATGTCAATATATTGTATGCTCAATTTTTACGACTTTGATGATATATTCGTGTATGATACATTTATGTTGTTATACAGAGATGATTAGGGGTTCGTCAGCTAACTCCTAATTGTGAACTCAACTCAATATTTTTAGAACTAGCTAAGATGATTTGTATCGTACAAGGAGCTATTAGGGGTCTTCTCGTTAATTTTCTAATAGTAAATCTACCCCGATCGAGAGAAGTCTGTTATAGACCTTTATGTTTACGAGCTTTATGGGTGCAGCTAATGGGCCTTTCCCGATCCTAATCGTGATCTTGTTCCGATGAGAGCAAGAAACCATAGATTAAAGGAATTTAATAAATGGAAATACCCTAATAATTAATTCCATAATATTAGCTTAGAAAATGTCCAAACCACAAGGGTTTGCTGCAACAACGAATATGCGTGTCCAATGTTCCGATTCTCAAGGACTCATTAGACCGGAAATCAACGGCCACCAAGCCGCGTCTCCACCGAATGCAACATCCAACGGTCCAAATAAACTCTCTCTTTCTTCTTCCTTGGGCGTTCATTTTTTCTTTGTTTTTATTTCCTCAAAATTCAAGGGCCAGGCTTCACCACGATTTCCTCATTTCTCCCTCTGCGCTCAACCAAAGCTCTTCAATCTCGTCTTCTCGGAAAAAGCTATGGGGAAAGGTCCAGGTCTCTACTCCGACATCGGCAAGAGAGCTAGAGGTTGCTTCATTTCTTCTTCATTTTGTTGTTCCTCTTCTTTTTCTGTATGTAGTTCTCGTTGAAATGATTTTTTTTTTTTTTTTTTTTTTCCGTAGATCTTCTCTACAAGGATTACCAGAGCGACCATAAATTCACCGTCACTACTTACACTTCCGGTGGAGTTGTGAGTTTCTGAATTTTTTTTTTTTTTTTTTTTTTGGATTTACAATCGGATTTTGTTGCTTTTTCTTTGTTCTTTATTGCAATCGCAAATTATTGTTCATTCTTTATGCTGTAATTGCTTTGTGTATCGCTTGTGTTTGGCTGACCGACTTTCTGACAGACGGACCGACTGACCTCGCTTCTTTCTATGTAATTAATATCCGCTTCTTGGTAGGTTGGTCGGAAGGCTGTAATCTTTGTTTCTTAGATTCAAGAATTTATTTCCACTAGTATTGTCATTTTCAGACCCGATGTCGATCTTGTTTTTAATCTCTCTGTAATCTTTGTTTCTTAGATTCAACAATTTTTTAACATGCACTCCCAAGGGAAAGCCCCTTTTTTGCCACTCATAAAATTTTTGATATATTGAATACTACCATTTGTCTAAACAATCTCTTACAAAGCTCTAATTTCTCTAAGTTTTTCATTATGTTTAGATATTCATAAAGTTATTATTGTTTTCATATGTAAAATACTAGTGTATATAGTAATTGCCATAATCTAATTTTACAACGTAATGTATGGCCAACTTTTATGCATTTGTTATGAGACAAATGTTCGATTCTTTGACCCTTAAATGATGCGGTATGGCACGTATCTTTAATCTTTGTGTCTCTCTTCTATTATTCCTGAACTTTATCTTTGATTCGCTTTTTAGGCTATCAGTTCAACTGGAGTTAAGAAAGGTGAGGTATTTTTGGCAGATGTAAGCACTCAGCTAAAGAACAACAATATCACAACTGATGTAAAAGTTGACACCAACTCCAATGTAAGTTATAAATGAATAAACATTTGATAATGTTTCCATTTGTTATGAAAATATAGTTAGTTTCACTGAATAAGTTTGTATAATGAAATGCTCATAAGTGTTCGGCATGTAAATAGTTTTCTTTGGATTGTATTATAGAAAAAAACGCTTGTGTAGCTGCTGATGTGAAGCCTTATAGCTAAAAGGTTATTTTTTCTTTTAATATAGGTTCACACTACTATTACTATTGATGAACCTGCTCCAGGATTGAAGACAATTTTCAGCTTTCGTGTTCCTGACCAGAGATCTGGAAAGGTAGTTATCAATTTACTTCTCAAATTATGTCATGTTACTGGGACAAAACAAATTGATGATCTTCTGTAGTCTGCTAATAATTGGTAGAAACAGGGATGGCTTCTCCACCCCATCCTTACCCCCAAAAAGAACTCCGGTAACTGCCCAAGTCCACCGCTAGCAGACATTGCCCCCTTTGGGCTTTTCCTTCCGGATTTTCCCTTAAGATTTTAAATGTTTCTACTAGGGATAGGTTTCCACACACTTATATGGAATACTTCGTTCCCCTTTCTAACTGACGTGAGATTTCACAACTCCCATCTTTTGAGAAATTCCTTGGGGGGTACATGGGGATAGAGTCTCTCATGGATAATTTATTGGAACGAGTTTCTTGCAAGCATTTTTTCCCTGTTATTATATAATTTTGTTGAAAGAAAATAGTTAAATTGGTTTATATTTTCAACTATTTTGAACATTTAATAACTTTTATGCATTATTTTACTTTCGTTTTTTAATGTGCATGCTATATATTAGCCTGTATGTTAAAGTAGATTAAAGTATAACTATCGTGCAACATTACTTATAAAACAATTTGCACCCCTAGTATGGGCACAGATATTCTTGCAAGCATCTGGTTTATGATCACCTTTTCAGGTTGAACTCCTATATCAACATGAATATGCTGGAATAAGCACTGGCATTGGTCTGACTGCCAGCCCCATTGTTAACTTCTCGGGCGTTGTTGGAAATGACAAACTCTCACTTGGGACGGATTTGTCATTCGACACTGCTTCAGGAAACCTCACTAAATTGAACGCTGGCTTGAGTTACACTCACTCTGATCTTATTGCGGCCCTTACCTTGTAAGAAAGCAAGCTCTTTCCTTTTCCTTCTTTTTTTTTAATCCTGTTGAATTCTTTCCTTCTTTTTTTTTTTAATCCTGTTGAATTCATTCCACTCAAAATATTATAACAAAAATGGAGCACTTTTACTCGGATAAATCAATTTTTAGCGAGAGATTTGTCAAGAAAGGATTCTTTCTATCAGAAGATTTATGGCTCTATTGAAAAGATGATCAACTCTAAATTTGGAAATCTTTCAGAACAATGTTATTGTTCTTCCCAATAGAGAACTTATGGGCCCTTCTGTCATAACCTGGACCATACAAATGATATGCATTTTGTGTTGACGGTTTACAGGAATGACAAAGGTGATGCTGTCACTGCTTCCTATTACCACCTTGTTAGCCCATTGAGCAACACGGCAGTTGGTGCCGAGCTGTCCCACAGCTTCTCGAGCAACGAGAATACTCTTACAATAGGCACACAGCATGCTCTTGATCACCTGACATCAGTGAAGGCTCGGGTGAACAACTATGGTAGGACAAGTGCCCTAATCCAGCACGAATGGCGCCCAAAATCGTTGTTCACCATTTCAGGAGAAGTCGACACACGGGCTA